ATAAGATGTGAAGGAAAACAGGTCCCTCCACTGTCTATTCAAATACCTGCTGGCTGATGGGAACCACCATCAACTTCCTCTTTTTTACTTGCAAGCACGTCTGAAGCCCTTGAAGTGTTCCCAACAATGCCCTGAGTAGACAGATTAAAGGCAAGTGGATATTGGTGACTTTCATAGGAATAGCTTGGCCATTAATTGTCTTCATTTTGTGCTTTATCCAACAATTTCTATCATTTACTTGGCTCTTAGTGAATATCTGGTGGTTTATGATTTCAACTCCAGTCAATAGTCTCACACTAAATATAGGTATTATTATTATACTAGTAAGAAGGTAACAGTGATATAAAAATTGGCCCCATTCTGATACAGAGGCTGTGTCAAGTGTACAATTAGGTTGTAATCATTACCGTTTTTATTTATTAATGCTGTTAAAGTAGAGTTTAGAACTTTAAAAAATGTTAGAGCCTTAATCACCTATTCTTTGTGCTATGTTATAGAGCAACAGCTGTAAACTTTCTGCAATTTTGTAACAAAAACCAAAAAGGCACTATCTACAAATTGCATCAACAACTGTCCATTCCTTGGATTCTTAACATTTCTGTATCTAATGTCAAAACTCTAGGCCATTCACTCAATATTTACTCATTAATTACTTCTTAAGAACCTATTATTAATATTGGCCAACACACTGAAGATATAATATTACACTTCTAAAACAAAGGGATAACCATTTGATAACTCTTAAATTAAGAACAGTCAAGTTCATATTGAGCAAATTAACATGGGTGATAAAATGAGTGATAGAAGGGTCCTTGCCCTCTAGAAGCTAACCTGAGTAGAGAAATGTGCAAATCATGATAATGGGTAAACCAGGTACCTGAATACAGGTCTAGGGAGCTCATAGAAATAAGCAATTCATGTTGTTTTAGCAGAATAAAGAGTTTCTTAGTGGAATTGACATCTGAGGGTCCTCAAAATGACTAGCAGTCCTACTGGTGGAAAAGGAGAAAAGGGAATTCCAGGTAGAGGAACCCACATGAGCAAAGGCTCAGAAACATGACAATTCAGAATCAAGTGTAGGAACAGGGAGCAGTCTTATGCAGCAGTAGTAGTGGAGGAGGAAAAAGGAAGATATTGGCCCTGGCTGGTGCTGGAGGCTAATTCCAGCAGGGTCATAATAAATGCAGAAGTCCTCAAAAGGTTGAATGGACTCTTTCAGCAGGGCTGAAAATCTGCATATATTATTGCCTGCTGCCAGACAGCTGAAAACATGATAATCTTTTAACTGCTTACCAAACCTTACCTTTGATACGTATATCTGCTTTGCTATAGGGCAAAATGTGTTAATAAAAAACTAGGGGTCCAGAGATTCAGGGACCTTAGCTACTAAAGCTATGCCTTCCCTGGCTCCTCCGAAAAATGCCTTCCAAATTTATATTTCATATCTAGTGGCTTAGTTAATTAACTCGCAGCCCCTTCTTCAGATTCCTGAACCCTAGTAGATACAGGATAACACCCCAGCAAGCTGGTGTGGCTGAGTTGATCAAGTGTCATCCCATGCACCGAGAGGTCATCAGTTCAATTCCCCATCAGGAAAAATGCCTGGGTTGTGGGCTCCATCCCCAGTAGGGGGCTTGCAGGAGGCAGCTGATCAATGTTTCTCTTTCTCCCTCTTTCTGCCTTCCTCTCTTTCTAAAATCAATAAAAAACATATATATTTAAAAAGGATGATGTTAGTGGATATGGGTGAGTGAAACTTGCCAAGAAAAACATTTATTGCTACCTTACGATATTTATAAATTATTTATAATTATTTCAAAAAATATGCCAAGTACTATGAAAAACACAATTGAAAATGGTTTTATATCTTGCGATGCCCACTTGTTTAGCACTTATTTTCTGCTTTGAAGCAAAAATTAAGAATGCAAGTTGTAAAAATGAATCTCTTCAATCTTTAATTACCTTCAAGTGGAAATTCAAATACTGAAAAATGGTAAACTTTTATTCATTAGTTCAGCAACTCTTTAAGAAATACCAATTATAGCACAATACTGAAGGCCGATTTATCAGTGAACAAAATATAGGTCTTCTCTCTGCACGAATGGATTTCACAGTCTTGTGGAGTTTAGCAAGATTTCTTTCTCCCTCCTCTCCTGGATAGAAATCCCACCCATTCTTCAAGATTTGGATCTATTCTCTTATTTCCATTAGGTACTATTTGTACTGTTCTAACTCCTGCAGGTTTATCTATTCTCTGATGTTTCATGATTTGTACAAGTGGTACCGTTATCATACAATTTTGGTCCTCTGTCATCAGGAACCGATCTCTATTAAATGTGCTTAACTTCTTTCTCCTCAATAAGATAAAAAAAAATCTTTTAAAAAATATTTTATTGATTTTTACAAAGAGGAAGGGAGAGGGATAGAGAGTTAGAAATATCGATGAGAGAGGAACATCAATCAGCTGCCTCCTGCACACCCACTACTGGGGATGTGCCCACAACCAAGGTACATGCCCTTGATTGGAATCGAACCTGGGACCCTTCAGTCCGAAGGCCAACGCTCTATCCACTGAACCAAACCAGTTAGGGCAAGATAAAAAATTCTTAATGACAAATACTTGGGATGGGGTCAAGGGCCACATTTTCTGTATATTTTGTAATACTGAGCAAGGCAGTTAGAATATTCATAGTAAAAGCATTTGAATGTAACTGAAAAACATACTTACTGAAAGGGTGGTTCTTGACCATACCAAAAGTGATGTCAATAAAATGCGTCTTAGCATGGACACCTCACAATACTGGTGCAAATGAAGGGGACGTGGTGAGAATTTCTTAATGGAATCTCATGACGTACTCTTCTTTCCACTTGTTATTTTAAAAGAAAATTGTTCATTATTTCCTAAAGCTGTTGTATAACTTAAATGTCCCTAAAGGACCTTGGCAACAATGCAATCAGTCTTCCATTTCAAATAATAGGTAGAATAGGCTTAGTTGAACATTTAAATTTGTGAAAGAAAAAAAAGAAAAATACTTGCTTGATGTTGCATAACTACATTTCCAACCAATTTAAAGCTGCAACAAATGACAATACAGTTAAAATGTTAAAATGAGGAAGTCATTCTGTGAATCTGACCTGTACTTTGGCATTTTAAAATAAGCTTCTTGTTTATTTGCAGGGTTCATTAGAAACGCTTTAAAAATTGATTTATGTGATAAGACATGCTTTGAACAGGCATCTTGATAAAGTACAACACAGTATCTAAGTTAAGAATATTGCTTAAAGGAACCTAAGTTGAAGCTAAAGATGATTTATGCTGATAGAACTAGGACAAGCTGGTTGTCCTTTATTGTAGCCTTTAAGGCTTGAAATCATTCTGTTCAAGGTTATTTGAATGGCTGTCTTCACTATCAAGAGCTTCTAATTGGTGCAACTATAGTTCTGACCATCTTATCAGTCTACAGAATTGTTTGAGATTAAATTCTTCCAAAATGGGAAAACAGCCCAGGGTTATTTAGGCCAGGTGCCAGGTTATGAGACTGAAAGAACACAGCTATCAAGAAAGAATCCCATGAAAAAGTTTTTATGCTCTATGAAGCAGAATTTGTTCATCAGATCGTGCTAACCCAGATTTCTTCATTTTCTGTTTTACAATGTATACTTTTGGAATCATTTATTCCTATTAGAAGACATTCCTTTTTAAGAAGTAGAAAGGCTTCCCAAAACTGTCTAGGAAGAACATGTTCCCTTGGTGTTATCATCATTAGTATTTTTCCCCCAGAAGAAGAATATATATATAAATTTTATCTTTATTTCACTGATCTATCCCTTCTTCCCCAGCCTCTCTAGCTGCATCCAGGCTAGGGCAATATGAGAATGCATTTAATTATATATATTTTTGTATAACAATTGCACAGTCTAATTCTAAAGCCAGGCAAAGTGAAAGCAATGCATCAAAACACACTGGGCAGAATGTTTATTCTATTCTCAGGTAAACAGTGGTTGGCCACCATGAATGGTAAAATCTAAGATGCCACAGGCAAGACAGAAACATCAGTCTTCCAAACAACAGACCAACTGACTTTATGAACGAATCACTTGAGAGGCCAAAGAAGCTCCATTTACCCACAGGCACAAAGGCTCTTCCTAGATGGCATCTTGCGTTTTCCTGTTTGGCCATTTAATACTCCTGTTTGCTAGCCATGTAGAGCAAAAGCAATTAACCGTATTTCTTGAAGACAGAAGCCGATGCCTCTGATATTTTGTAGAGTCTAGCCCACAATGGTGCGCTTAACTATGTTTCATGAACAAAGGAACATTCTACCCACAAGTCTGCTAAGAAATCAACTTCAATAGAAAACATCCCAGTTGTCTCGTTGTTCCTCATTCTGATCACAGAAACAGATGTTGAAACAAACCAAAAGGCAGGGTACAGCTAATCCAATTTAGGACAACTCATCAGGGCTCAGGAGGCTAATAGGATTTATGACATCTCACCATATCTCAGGTTTGATAGTGATGCATTCCAAACACATGATAGTGTAGCAGAAAAGGCAAAAGTAAAAATGAAAATAAAAAATAAATTCACATCAAGGGCATCCCAAACCATGTTAGTGTCAAAGAATTAATGCTACGAGGAGAGAATATGATCTACTGATCATGGTCTGTTTCTGTAGATGAAATCTCTTCCCCCTTGCTTCCTAAATTTCAATTGTTTTTATAGTGTTTATTGCTGACCAAAAAGCATGTATAAGGTAAGAATATAAATGAAATAAAGCTGATGCTGGTTGTTATTTATTTGAATTTGTATTTCAAACAGACCTTTCTAACTGTCTGAAGTTTTCCTTGGAAGATGAAGGGTAACACAGCCTCATGTCCTAGGCATATAAAGCACCGATTTTCCCTGTTGGCAGTGGCTAGTTAACATGGGCGATCAGAAACGCGGGTCCACATTCACGCGCTCACATATCAGAACGTTAGACGTCTGGGTGCTCACTGACCTTCAGGTTGGTATTGTGCTATGATCGTCACTGTCTGTCCAGCCCCCTTCAGTGCAGCAGCAGCCTGTTCGTGGGATGCTCCCCGGAGGTCAATGCCATTCACCTGAAAGACAGGAAGCCAGAGAATGTTGGTGTTTCATAAGGCATATTATTCTGATCGACAGAAGGAAAAAGTTTCCCAAAACAGAGAGTCCGTTTAAGACTATGTCACCTGCCTCAAAACCCCTCATGTCATACGGAGGCATTTGTGTGTTATGCTCCTGAGAAATTTTAGACAGCAGACACATGAACTTTCATCTTGTGGTGTTTGTGCTATGGCCTGACCAGGTTGAAACACTTTTGTATGCCTACGGCGACTAGGCTCTCAGGGTGTGTATTTCATATGCCTCTGTGAGCTCCCTAGATTTCTGGGGTGGATAGAAGCCTTCAAAATTAGAGGGAAAACAGGGTAATAAAGAGAGACACATGTAATGTGCGTAGACAAGCAAGCACTGACAGATTAATATATTCAGATAGGGTTCTAGGGACACTGTACACAATGTCACCAGACTGGCTGCCCACCAAAACTCCCTCTTTGGTCATAAGCCTGTTCCTGTCATCCTGAGCTCAGTTAGATAGGCCTGAGCTTTGTTCCAAAATAAATTTGACCACCCCATTTCTCATGTACAATTCCAGTGTGGCTTCTGACAAAATGAAATAGAGAATGCCTGCAGTTTATGTTGCTGTTGCTAACTCCCATTTTGGGGCCCGTGCCAGAAGAGAAACAGAGCATCTCCAAACGAGCACAGAACTGCCGAGAGGAAAAATTCATTCTGAAGTCAGATTTAATGAGAAGCAAAACCTAAAATCTTTCTCCAATCAATTCGGTCTAAATCAACACAATGTAATTACTGAGTGCTTGTCAAGGACAGGGCCCTCTGTCTGCCCCAGGAGAGGGACTGTGGGTGGGGAACAAAAGTGAATAAGACAAGTCCGAGGAAGCCTTTCTGCTTCACCAGAGCACACAGTAAGTCCAGTTCTCTAACCTAGCACACAGTAAGTCCAGTTCTCTAACCTAGCACACAGTAAGTCCAGTTCTCTAACCTAGCACACAGTAAGTCCAGTTCTCTAACCTAGCACACAGTAAGTCCAGTTCTCTAACCTAGCACACAGTAAGTCCAGTTCTCTAACCTAGCACACAGTAAGTCCAGTTCTCTAACCTAGCACACAGTAAGTCCAGTTCTCTAACCTAGCACACAGTAAGTCCAGTTCTCTAACCTAGCACACAGTAAGTCCAGTTCTCTAACCTAGCACACAGTAAGTCCAGTTCTCTAACCTAGCACACAGTAAGTCCAGTTCTCTAACCTAGCACACAGTAAGTCCAGTTCTTTATCCTAGCACACAGTAAGTCCAGTTCTCTAACCTACACAGAGGCTGGTTTTTGCAGATGATACCAGAGTTCTGCTTCCTTTTATTTACAGGGAAGATGGCCATCCCCCATGAAAAAGAATGAAAGAGCTGATCAGTTTATCTACCCATAAAATATAGAATCGTATTTGGCCTCACCTGAATCCTCTTTGACAATGATACTGGATGGGTGGGGGTTTGCTACTCTGTTTCCTTAGCAGGCCTGGAACATCTGTCATTCTCAATTCCACATCCTGGACATCTCATAGTAACCTTGTTAAAGTCTCCTTAATTCACTTTTACTTATTAAAAAAATATTTTTATTGATTAAAGAGAGGAAAGGAGAGGGAGTGAGAGATTGAAACATCAATGATGAGAGAGAATGATTGATTGGCTGCCTCCTGCAAGCTCCGCACTAGGGATGGAGCCCACAACCTGGGTATGTGCCCTGACCAGGAATCGAACCATGACCTCCTGGTTCATAGGTCGATGCTCAAACACTGAGGCATGCCAGCTGGGCACTCCTTATTCACTTTTAAAACTTTCATGGTCTCTTCCCTGGCTTTCTATTCTGGTAACTCCTTAATGAAAGCATTGATTACACAGTAAATTGGGAAGCCGGCTGAGCTAGGGGTGGCCTGCCTGTGCCACTCAATAGCTCTATCGCCAATCTGAGCCTCAATTCTCTCCTGACTTTATAGTCCCTTTGAACTATAAAATTTCAGATTAACTCCTTGGTAGCTGATCGTCATTTCAGAGATTCTCCAGGCATTGATGGGTCAGAAGTATGACTTAGCTGGAAGAGACAGGAAAAGTAATTTTATCCAGGCTTTTGTCTACTGGAAACTGAATGCACACATGAAGGATCACATAATCTCTTGTCCAACAATTCCTCTCATCATTGACCTCCTGGTTCATAGGTTGATGCTCAACCATAGAGTCACATTGGCTGGGCTAATTTACTTATTTTTTATTTGGAGAGTTTGCTCTTTTAAAATTTTATCTGTATATTAAAAATATTAGTGCTCTATCTCATATAACTACTATAAATATTCTTACTAGTTTGGTGTTTGTATTTTGTGTTATGGCATTTAACTATTTTAGCTTCTCACTTGTATGTTATTTCTTGTCATATAGAAGTTTAAAATATTTAGCCATATTTAGCACTTTTTTTCCTTTTTAGCTTTTAAGTTTTGTGTTATATCTTCCCCCTCTGTGATATATTTACTAAATACCCATGTTTTCTTTTAGTACAAGCACAGGTTTTTTTTGTTTTTTTTTGTGTGTGGGGTTTTTTTTTAGCCATATACTCTTTCATCTACTGAATATATTTTGGTGCTTGATGTGAGAACCAGGTGAACAAACATCATTTCTTGGACTTTTCTTTTGTAGCATCAAATTACTACATCTTTCACTTATTCTAATTATGCCCTAAGATTTTCTCAGTGAACTGAGGGAGCATGAAATAGTGAGAAGAAACAAAAGATTTAGAGTCAGGGAGTACTAGGTTTGAATCCTGAGTTCACCAGTTACTTGGGAAAGCCACTTAACTTCTCCAAACTTCAGCTTCCTCCCCTGTAAAATGGGTACAGTATCTACATATTGCATGAAATAAATGAGATAATATCTGTAAAGCCCTTAACACAGAACCTAGCACAAAAAGGCATTCAGCAAATAGTATCTACTATTACTGTATTTCTTCAAAGAGCTGTGATGATCAGTGATGAAATAAAATCTAATGGAAATTAACCAATATGGAATATAGTGTACAGGTTAGTTCATATGTTTTTTTCCTTCGGAACACCCAATTTCAGTACTGAAAGAGACTTAGAAACTTGTTCACCCAGCACTTACACACTAGAGATGATCCCCATTAGGGGAAGGGATTTGCCTTAAATCATATCAGAGTAGTGCAGCTAGGGCTTCTCTTGCTCAACCCAGGATTCTTTCCACTGTAGCAGATGTTCCCTATGATGTGGTGTGTTTATTTTCCACTGGTCCAGTAGAAATCTTGTTCATCGTAGGCCTGTTTCTACATGGGCCCCCACATTTGTAGAGTTTTTGATGCTGCCATCATCCTGAACCATACATTGCACGGGGCCCTGTTGATTTTCTTCCAGGGTTTAGCACACATGTTCTCTTTCAGTCCTTCAAACTTTTCAAGGTCACTTTGCTTCTTATGTCTCCCCCTGTGGCTTGAGTTTTTATCAGTAATCCTTGCTTAAATAACATTTCAGAGGCATTTGAAAGCAGTTTACATCACTGATATGACATTTCAAAATACCAAGGGTGACACAGATTCATATATTTATTATTTCTGTTTTTCTACTTCAATTTGAATTTTCTCTTCTTGAAGCATAAACTGGGAGAATGGATGCCATTAAATACTGTTGAGATTAATAATGATAGTCATTGTTAGCATTCACTGATGATCAGGCATGCTGATATCTAGAGGGATATTTATTTATTATCTTATTTAATCTTCAGAAGCCTGGGATTACTTTTCTGATTTTATAAATAAGAAAACTGAGCTCAGTGAGAGTCACTAACTTTGTGAAAGGTTAAATAGCTGGAAGAAGTTAAGAATTTAAAATAGTCTAACTAAAACTCTTGAACTCTTACTACCATTTCTTGTTGTTCTTCCTTCAATATCCTGTCTAGTTCTGAGGGTCTATGCCTGCAAGATTCTAATTCTGAAGTTTGCCTTTCAAGCTCCCTGAGACTGACAGCCCACAATTGGGTGTGGCATGCTGGTCAGCTCAGCCATGGGCTCAAGCAACCTGGTTTAGACATTATTGTCCAGCTTATAACGATTAGAACATGTAGGGTTGAAACAAAGGCTAGAAAAATTCCACCTATTACCATCTTCTTATGTATACAACTGTCATTGGATCATAGAAAACATTAAATTCTATTTGTTATGACATCCTTTTCACACCAAGTTAGTAATGGATAGGAAGGTTAGGACTTCTAGTTAATTCAAGTAGATATAGGTTTTTTTCAGATAAGGTGTGAAGGAGAATGGTGTACCATATCCAGAGTCAAATTTTTTTTTTTTTAGGTGAGCGTTATGTTTGTTACTTCAGCCAGTAGTGCCCTTGGCCTGGGGCTCCAGGTTCCCTGAATAAATTACTGTATGTTCTTTAGAAATATAGTTATTAGTATTATAGAAAGGATCTACACTAATAAAAGAGAAAGATGCAAATTGACCATACCTTTGCAACACCCACCAGCCAATCAGGAGTGAGTATGCAAATTAACCCAACAAAGATGGCGGGTTAATTTGCATACACAGGTGCTGAGCGGCTGGGGGCAGAGCAGGACAACAACACATGCGTTCTGCACCTCCCCAGCTACTCCAGGCCTCTGGGCAGCGTGGGAAGGCGGAAAGGCAGCTCTGGGCTGGAACGAAGGCAGAAAGGCAGTTCTGGGCCAGAGCGAAGGCGGAAAGGCAGCTCTGGCCAGCCGGAGTGAAGGCGGTGCTGGCAGCCAGGGGAAGTAAGGCCCAATTTTGCACGAATCTTCATGCATTGGGCCTCTAGTAATATAATAATGAGAGAATTTCAGAAATGGGGAGAGATTTTGTAATCCTCTGCAGCCACCAATGTATACCTTTAAGGTGATATGACCACATTATTCATATGCCCTATCCCTCACCTCCACCATGTTCAACTTTTATATTTCTCTGATTCAGGCATTTCTATCCTTGCAAAGGCT